GTGTAAGTTGGATTGTGGTGTGGAGTATCCATCTACAAGCAGATTCTTTATGCTCGTGCTGTTCATGCAGTCAAGATGACCACACACTTCAACCGAAGGTTATTGCTGCACTGCAAGGAAAACAATTGTGGTTGCCAAGTATATGGCAAAAGAGTCCGTGGTCATGACATGGTCAGTGAATCATGTCCAATAAATTCAAGAGATGAGTCATAGCTCAAACTCGCGATATTGTGCAAACTTGGGGATGTTCCGCAGACTGGACAGCCTGAGGATGCATTGTGATTCTCTTGCCACTCAGACAGAGACACCTCAGCGAACTTGCATTGTAAAGATATCCCAAGGTACAGTAGGCGGAGCTCCAAGTCAAAAGATTAGGGAACTTGCATCCATTTTCTGCCCGAGTTCACTTGGAGTTGACGATATAGTAGCGGACAATGTAACAGAGGCTCCCTGGATGCAGTTAAAGGACAAATTACTTTCTTTTTCAAGGAGCAGATCACAAATTTAGAGTTTTGGTTTACTTGCTTCATTTTCTTTCCATAAACCAACTACATGTAGAAAAAAAAAAAAAAAAAAAAAAAAAAAACTGAGTCACATATTTATTAAAATTTGCCTGGTTTAATATCTTGTAGTTTTTGTTTTTGAACAAACGGGTGTACCGAGTGTGATTCACAAGCAAATTCAGAGTGTGGTAGGTAACTGTATTCCAAAACAACTCAGCACATATTGAGTTTCACAAAGATAATAGAAAATTGATGAGCCTCAATTCACACCCAAGATAGATATGGAACCCAATAAAACCCAAAAGACAAATCCCCAGACGGATATCTAAGAGACCATAAGAGAGAGCGAGAGATAGAGTAGAGGGAAAGAGATAAGTGAGACTGGGAGAGAGAGATAAAGTGAGATAAAGAAAATGAGAGGAGAGAGATAAAGAGATAAAAACAAGCGGGATATCAGGCAGCGCAATGGGCGACCGCGGGCAAGAGTATGAGAGCCGTAGCTAATGGCGCAAAAGCAGAGGAAGCTGGCGCGGAGCATGGGCAAAGCCGACGGCGCGATGGCGCAGGCAATGCGACTGGCACGGGTGAGCCCGATGAGCGTGAACGAGGCGGACGGCGCGGACACTGCTCGTGATGCGGACAAAACCGATGATGTGGATGAGGACCATGACAACTGCCCAACCTAAGCGAACCGGAATGGCATCCCGTTCTCCTTCTCTCTGTTGTCCAGCCGGTCAATCATATGTACAACTGACAGCTTTATGTTCGCTGCTTTCTTCACGAGTCTTGGCGAGAGACTTCTTTCTGTCCGGCCATGTCCAGCTCCCTTCTGGAAGAAATCTGCCTGGTGGTCTCTGTGTTTCATGAGACACTTGGCTTCATCCATTACTTCTTTCAAGGTATATGTTCGGTCCTCGTCAACATTAACCGCTGGGTTTGCACCGGCTGCGGCAGCATTGGTGGGAGGTTGTGCCCTAACCAGATTGTCCAGAATTTTATCACGGAACAAAGATGTAAGCTTTTAATGAAAGTAGGGTGTGGCTTCCGGGTCGCTGATTAATTTTGACTTCAGCAGCCTAGATGCCTCCAAGTTCAACCCTGTACTAAGCTTCATCAATTTGTCTGGGTCAAAGCTTCAGCATGGTATTTCTGGTTTTGACGTGTCTTGAACATTGTACTCACATGCACATATCTCGCAGAATATTCAAATGAGAATTGGCTCTGCTCAAAAAGGTACTTATGTAAAGAGTTGATTGATTGTAAAATGTTGAGCATGTGTTTCAGATACGATACAGACAACGTGATAGACTCTACCTCAGGTGCGTCTCACCGATTCCGGTGTTTGCAATACCTGTATTGTTTGTTGCTGTTGTATGCTTTTTTTATATAACACCGGTGCCCGATTGGCCTTCAAATTCATGGTTATGACGGAAAAAGATGATGAAGATAATTGGCCACAGCCTGGTGCAAAGGAATTTATACAGCGTGCATTTTTTTTTTCTTTTTTTTTCAGGTCTTCACGATAATTGCAATGTACAATATAGTAGCTCTCAGTGAATCATGGCTCCTTGGGGAATAAACATTCTATTCTTTTGTACAGAGCCTCCGGACATAGCTCTGCTTACATTTGACATGTGGGATAATATGGACAATCAGGACGATGGAATGAGCTTAAAATCGGTCTTTTATTCGCAGACGTGACCGATGCTGTAGCGGTTCCTTTTACATTATCTAAAGGAGGGATTCCAATTGGGTCCTCAGGAACAAATGGTGTTGTTATCATTAAAAGTATCGAGTACTAGGGCGGAGTTGTTCATGGCAGAATCAGTGAGACATAATAATAATAATAAAGTTGATACAACTACAATCTATGATATGAAAGGATACACAGAGGGTGTTTTCTGCAGTCGAGGATATATGGAAATTTCCCCTGAAGGCATAAATTCACCAATCACAGGTAGAGTACAAAGGAAAAAGAGTCACATACTGATCACGGCTGTCAGGGCATGGATAACCAAGTGGAAATGAGAGCTGGCTCTATCTAGCGGGGCCAGAATCCTCTGTATCTTCTCTCACCTGATTTTGGCTGGCTCGGATTGCTGGATTTCCAGTTGCAGAAGTTCAAGCCTCAGATTCCACTGGAAACCTGGCAAGCAAGTGGAGGTTGATTAGCAGGTCGGAATTTTGTCAAAAAGGTGTATGGGCATGGGGATCCATGTGGCAGCACACCCAGCATTTTGAAAGGGCATCTCAGACCCCTTTATCCACAACACTGCCCGAGAGGGAGTCTTGTATATTTTCTCTTTTGCCTGGCTCACTGACGGGACATCCAGATACCAGTGAGCTTACCCGCGTCTTATAAATTGAACTCACCGCGTGTGCAGCGTCTGGAGACCGAAATAATCGACAGATTCTGCAGTATACGGAGGCGGCGGCTCGGACCCTAAAAGATATTGCAAATGACCACCACAGTGTACCACATGTAATGGGTGTGAAACATAAACTTCGATCACCAACAACCTAACTTGCCCCTCACCTGAAAAGGAAACATTGATCTTCTCAAGCACCACTTGTGCACACTACTATTTTGTCGCAAGTCTCTGCTCATGTCTTGGTTGATTGCGTGTGAATTCCTTCAAATGACTCTGTTAGCTCTTTAAACTCCGAATGTGTGAGGTTTAAATGTAGGTTGTCCCTCCTATGTCTATCTACACTATAGGCAGACATATTTTGACCCCATGTTAGGGCAGTTCCTCTCATGGTAGATGACTACCCTAAGAGGGGTCCTTCCTCGTGCGGGTGCACTCAGCCCACTGGACACACCCACCACCGATATGCGCCCGGGTGCATCCGTATTTGTGGATGCACCCACCTATGTCACGTCACACTAGCCCGCGCGCAGCGCGGGCCTGATTTCTTTTAGCATGTTGGGGCTCGCTGGATGCAATGCCATGCACCAGAGTGGTTTTCTGTCACCCGCACTGTCCGTGATCAATATTCCTCCGTTCCGCCCGTTGCCCGGGACGGAAAAAAAGAAGTTTTGGTCACCGCCCCACCACCATTTACCCAATCATGCTATCAAAGATGCACATCTAAAACCCTGATCAAATAGTAGGACTGTTCGCTGTACCGTATACGGCATACGGCCGTACAACTACGGCTGGCTTACAGCTCCATGGAAGCCCCTACCCTACCCATACCGTAACACGAATCTTCACAGGGCACTATGTACGGTATGGTACGGTACGGTACGGTACGGTACGGTACGGTACGGTACGGTTTCGTATACAGACAGTTATGGGTGCCATATTTACGGCTATTGGCCGGCTGTAAATACGGCTACGGCGGCCAGTCCCATCAAATAGTACTGTATTTCACAATGAATCCCAAGCGCCTCTCCGTACCTACACTCCCATACCACCCTCAATCACTCTAAACGTAAAGCTACCGCATTCATGTCTAATTCATTCTCCGTCTGAATTTGTCTTACTCGCATCTGGGAGCACCCATGTGTGTACTCCTTGCACTCTGTGGACACGTCCACATGATTACGTGGATGCACCCCTCGAAGCTTTGGGTGCACCCACATGCACTTGGCTGGGAGCATCCAGTCAGCAGGATGGACACATCCAACGCTTCGAGGGGTGCACCCACCATGCACCCAGCATATTTGCTTGGTGCACCCGCCTTTTTCTCTTTCCACAATTGGATGCATCCACAGTCAGAGGATGCACCCCACCAACTCAAAGGGATGCATCTCACTGACTGGACGGACACATCCTGCCCATTAGGTGGATGTGCCCAGCCCCAGTACAGATTTCTGCTGGGTGCATCCAGCACTGTGGCCCCCCGTGCCGGATGCACCCAGCCCATTTTGCTGGATGCACCCCCCCTTAGGTTTCCAATTGGTGGATGCATCCATCCATCCCAATATTTGCTAACCAGGTTTAGCTTAATTTCACACTATTTCTTACCCTTTTTATGTCTAATTAAATTACAATCTATGTCATGTCACCAGTTCACTTACACGCCAAACTAGCATAACTTCCCCTTTTTGGACTACTAACGCCTCCATCCTGTTTATGAAGTTGCCCGTTCTGGACCACTACTCCTCGCATCCCAATTTGGCATATTGTTATCCTATCTCCCAGAATTTTCATTTTTAAAATTTTCACCCATCTTTTTTCACGATATTATCTGAATCTACGAGTAGAAAAAAAAGGCCTGTACTTCTTATTTCACAATATTATCTGCTTGAATCCACGACAAGAAAACAAAAAAAAACATGTGGTTTCTTTTCGGATGGCGGAGGTGGGAGTCGAACCCGCGGCATCTGCTGAAATTCTATTGCACCCCTGAGAAAGAGCAGCAGCGGTGTTACCTCTACACCACTCAGCATTGCAGGCACCTCAAGTTACGCTCAAGTTATCTTGACATAGACATCAAAGTTAAAGTGAAAGCACAGACTTTGTAAGTAAAAGTCTGTGCTTTCAGCTATGCCTGAGGTGGGAATTGAACCCGAGTGCTCTGCAGAAATATTGTGTATTGTACCACAAATATCGTGCAGATGTGTAACCCTTACACTACTCAGTCGACGAAATGTAAACACCAAGAGAATCCACAATCGGACCCGCGCAGTAAATGCATTGAAAAAAAAAATGGCATCCAGTAAAAAGGCAGTCGTACGATACATAACTAAGAACACGGTGCTCCCTATTCAAGTCCAAAGATTTCATGGTAGGCTCCTAGATCTACCGCGAACGTCAGCCAAGCCAGACCAGGTCTTTGAAAATACATAACGTACGGGGGACACACAACGGGTGGAACCACGTCTCTACGTGTTCACCGCTGAATTCATCCCACAGCGTACAAAACGCAGCTTGATGGTGGCACACAGGCTGATGCGAGTGCTGGATCAAGGTGTGCTGGATCCACGTAGCCTCCCCTTGGTGCTCGAACAAGGAAAAAATTCGCTGGCAGGGTATTTAGTCGGCAACCACGATTAAGATCAAACTAAAGACATTCGGCCAGTCCAACACGGGCGGGGGCAAGCCTCGACAATGTTCGAGGGATACAGGTGGACCGTCGCACTACGAGATCTTGGCTTCTTCACGCGGCATTGCCCGTAACACCGATCAAACGGTGAGGGAGGAAGATTCGGCAGGGTCTTCAGAGAGCGGCGTGCAAAAGGCATAGTGGGTAATAATTCTCAACCATTGGACTTGGGCGCACCTTTATACTTTCTCAAAAAGCACCCGCAGTGGCCACCCCACTTTTCATCCAACAATGGTTGCGCATTGTCCTTCGTTTCCGGTAACTACAGAAGCGTCAGCGGTGGCCGCGCATCAAAGAATTGATTCAACTCACGCTGGTGGTTTCCATTTCTGGCCAACAAACAATATTTGCGTCTTGGTAAACTCTCCTGGGAGAGTCGCAAGCCTGGGGGTCCACGTCAAGGAGGTGTGCGGGGTTGCGAACTCGGGTGTTGTGCAGCTCCTCCAGCCACATGCCAGCAATCCTGTCCTTCTCGGCCCATTTAACCCAGCCTTCCACAGACTTCTCCGCCCACTCTGCGTACATCTCCAGGCGTTTCCAAAGCTCCTCGCGCATCTCCTCACGATTCATACGCCGCAAGTAAGTCAGCACACCCGGCGGGGCCGGCATCATGGCAGGGACTGGATAAAATGTCAGTGAAGTGCCGAACGACGAAGAAAACAAAGTAAAGAAACACACCGTTGTGCAGCTCGCAACCGGTGGGCAGGTCGTTGCACGCGTTCGATCCAGCATACACACTTCCGCCACATATCCAGCGGGTTGTAGCTTGATGTGTATTGAGTAGCAGCACTTGCCATGACCTCACTCTTGGCCTGATGTCCACGCAAGCGTTGCGGCAGATGTGTGACTGTGACTCTGTGACACTGTGGGCCTTGTCATTGGAAGTGCTGGCAGTAAGCACCCGCACAGACCATGTGTTAGAAAAGGGGCATTGCCCTGGTGTGAATAGGACAGGTCGGTTACAAGTCGCTGAGGTAGGTACAATATTTCAACCACTTTTATACTGTTCACCCAGCTTACTAATGGGCGGTGGGCGCATCAGTCAACCCGAGTGCTGACTGACCCTGCTTCCCACGGTTGGCCGAGCCCCGTATGCTCGCACCTTCTACCACCATGCGCTCGTGCGAGTGGTGCGCAGATTTGCACTGCGGCCCATCCTTCCATTCTACATCGGTAAAATTGCCACTTTGACCCTGCCGCTGCCCACGCCGACAACAATGACGATGGGGGTGCGACAGACGAGAGAAAGATCCTCGGGGAACGAATTTTAGCGAGAACTCCACGTACGTGTTCTCTTATAATCTCACACATCTATTCACGCCACGGTACACAGTGCGCCGCTACCCCAAGGATCCACACACTCTGTCCGATGGAGTGGGAGGGGAGGCTCCGAGTCGCTGGGAGGCCGCGCGAGGGCAAAGCAAGCAAAGCGATCGATAAAGCAGGAAGCAAGCACAGGATGATGACTAATCTACAGAAGCTACTGCCAAACACGGCCAACCTGATGTGGTGTGGGCCGACACCCACCACCACATGTGCCCCCACTCGCAAAGGCGGCGTCCCCGCCGCCGGACGCCCAAGAAACACGACAGTGTCCAAAAAAAAAGGAACCCACAGCCTCATCCCGGCCGGACCCATCCCAACGCCGTCAGTGCCCGACTGAGATCGCAAAGTCGTGGATCGCGATCCCAATCCAGACGCGGAGCTTTGTCGTAAGGGAACACCAGTGGAGGTGGACGGGATGTAGGAATGGGGATAGGGTATTGTGCACGCTTGGTTTTCTGTCTCGTCTCGTAGAATTTTAACACAACTGTTTGAGGAGGGCGCACGTGCCGCGGGGGAGTCTTGAAGCTAGAGTCGGGGGTACGATTTGCGCGCCTGTGACGCCGCTGCAAACTCGCAAAAGGTCGCGCACATGCAGTGCGCAAGCCGGACAAGTCGCGGGTAAAGGATGGAGGTGTGGGCTCGTGGTTCTTGCTGTCCGCATCGAGTATCGGAATCCGCGACTCGAGAACGGGGTGGGGTGGGAGATGGAACGAGCAGAGGGTATCTGTATCGACAGCGCGATTGAATGTGTTGGGAACGGCTTCCGTCTGGATAGCGGCAACGGCGAAAGAACGAGACGGGGGAATTACACTCGCCTTCTGTGCGCGATCCTGTAACACCTCGGCACAAAGCCTCCACCCCACATCATATCCCCAGACCCTCTCCTGTTCCATCTCCTTCTGAACGGCGGCTCGGGGCAGATGATCTTCTTTGCGACAGCCGGCTTTAGCTTCTTCCCGCCCGTGTGCGAGACCAATGCGGAAAGCTGTCTGCCACAGCTGACGGAGGTGGAAATTGACGTCCACTACAACGCTGTCCTCGTTCCAAGCAGCGAAAAGTGCGTCTGAACACATGGTTTCAATGATATGCTGCTCCTCGTCCGACAACGAAGGGATTTCGGGGGGGATCATCTTGTACACAGAAAGACGCGGCGCGGGGATAGCACCGGATGGTGAATAAGCAAAGCGGGACACAGGGAATATCTGGAATCTTCTTCTTCTTTGGGGGTTCACGGAAGACGAGTAGCAAGCGCGCAAGCACGGCAGAGCCGGTACCGCAGATGCTGGTGTCTTCTAAGAACGACGGTGTTCGCGTCTCGCGTCTGGCGTCTCGCAGACGCAAACGCAAACGCAAATCGCAAATCGCAAACGCAAACGCAAACGCACACGCAAGTCTCGTTCTCTCGTTCTCTCTTCTCGTATCTCGTAGTCTCTGATTTCACAGAGTCGCAGGTCGCAGGCTCGCAGGAAAAACGCCCGCAAGAAGGCTCAGCGCAGAAAAAAGCTGGAGGGCGATCGCAGAAGATCGATCTGGTCCGAAGGGCGCGCGGGATGGAAGGCCACTCCAATCACCACAATGGAGTGGGAGGGGAGGCTCCGAGTCGCTGGGAGGCCGCGCGAGGGCAAAGCAAGCAAAGCGATCGATAAAGCAGGAAGCAAGCACAGGATGATGACTAATCTACAGAAGCTACTGCCAAACACGGCCAACCTGATGTGGTGTGGGCCGACACCCACCACCACACCGAGTTCCTCAATATCCCCACTCTCGCCCCTCTGATTTGTCGCTTTCTCTATGCCCAGGACCATCGCAACCGTGATCTAAACATTCCCCTTGTAACTATCCTCCTCAACGCCTGCCCTGATGCTCCCGGTCGCATCAAGGCCTTCCCCTCAGCTGTCACAAAATTCTATGCCCCAAGGGTCCAATCTGTTGTCGCTGGTATGCTTCGAGAGCGCATTCGGGCAGTGCGTTCTTGGCGTGGCGGCTCCCCTCAATATGACTGCGTCTTTGTCCGGTAGTGGGTCCTGGCGGGCGTGGGTAGTGCATGGGTACGTACTTCACGAGGAGGCAGAATAGCAATTTACGTGCTTAACGACCATCAAGAGGGTGAAAAGTGGGGATGAGAGCAAGAAAGGCCACAGAAAGAAGTTCAACATATATATGTAGCGATCGGCAAGCGACGGCGCGGTGGTTAATCCCATGGAGCTTTCACTTGAGGATTACCTGTGACTGGCAAGGATTGACAATGAACCCACCGTGAAGTTCAGTCGGCGGGAAAGTGGGATTTATTGGGAGGGGGAATGATTGGCTAGGATCGGTAATGACTGCATATCTGAGGATTAGCTGTGGAGAGTGATCCCACGCTCCCCGGCTTTCGTGGCCTTCTCGCTGCCCGAATGCTGCTCTTCATGTCTTTCAAGTATTGTCGCCGCGTTTATCCGTGCGCGCTCGTGACTTGGTATTCTGCAATCGGGGATGAACCTTGCCCCGATGTCGGCATGTAGATGGTACAGCCCGACAATGACCATCGCGGTCGGTGTGCGGTTGTCATTATTCATGTAGATTCCATCCTGTGCGGTGCACATCTTATCGGTATCTACGGCCGACAATTCCTTCCACAACACTTCAAATACTCTGACTCATTAGACCGTTTTAAAGCTTTCTACATTAATAAGTACGCTGATCACCATGCACAGGAGATAGCTTTCTAGTTACTAGTACTATACCCACTTGTATTATATCAGTCTCAGGTGAATCGAAATTGTCTTTGGATCAATCCAAGTCTTGGACGTCTTTGGTTCGCTCGAAAATCTTGAGAAATTTCAAGACGCCAGTCAAAGACAAAGCAATCGTTCCCAAAGACAAAGCGCTCCAAAGACTCGGTGCCAAAGACTAAGAGTGTTTTGTCAAAGCTAACCGCTAACCACTAACCCAAACCCTAATCGGGCCCGTTTGGGGCGGTATAGTGGATAAGAAGCTTATTCAGGGTTCCTAGGTTCACATCCTATCCCCATCAATGGCATCGAAGACATGGATCAGATAGATTGCTTGTACGTGCCTTGCTTCGTTTTCTTCTATGCCGTTCTCTTATCACGGCAAAACAGCCTCTACCAGCACTATGGGTGAGGAATTCACACGTAATCAACCAAGACATGAGCAGAGACCTGCAACACTGTAGCGGTTCCTTTTACATTATCGAAAGGAGGGATGTT